TCCCCACACAAAAGAGGAGACCCTCAAAGGGGAAAGGAAAAGATGAGACATATTTAAAAGGAAGACAGAATTTAGAAGGAAGGGAGATCAGGTGTGTGAGTCTTCTGTGCTSTTAGCCCCTAGTTCTCTTCCAAATCGCTGAAGACTTACTGAATGGAGGTCCASTGGAAACAAAATATTGTTGAACAGAAAGATGGGAACTTGTCCTAGGTTGCCTGATCAGCAAAGGCAAAGCTGGAACTGAATTCCCAACACCAATCCCCATTCCAATTAATGGATCCTAGAACCAGAACTAGGGGAGGTAGAAGCAACCAGTCCCCATTTGGGTCACTGATAGGAATTTTCTAATGTGCTGTTAGACCATACATCTCATTAATAAGTTTGGTTACGATTTCACGGTTTAGRTGGGTGAGGTGGCACGTGCCTGTCATCCCAGCGGCTTGGGAGGCTGAGGCAGGAGGATCGCAAGTTGGAGGCCAGCCTCAGCAACTTATGGAGACCCTGTCTCTGAATAAAATCTAAAAAGGGCTGAGGACGGGGCTCAGGGTTTAAGCGCCCCTGGGTTCCATCCCTGGTACCAGAAAAAAATAAAAAAAGATTGCCTGTGTTTCATAATTTGATAAATATTTCATATTTCTCAAACCTGTAATTTGTGAAACAAATTAGAAATATTTCAGCATTTCATTTGGCCATTTGCGCTTGGAGATTGCAGCATTTGCATTTGAAACCGCCACTTTGCAAATTGCTTCCTCTTTGATCTCTCCACCCCAATGCCCCCAGCTGTTCTGTTGAGGGACCAAAATGGAAAAGGTGACTAATACCGGGCACTATCCTCAGCACTTGGGCTTCTCACCCACTTCCTGTTCATTGTCCTCACGTGTGGGTTTGGTTGACAGTTGTCCAATGAACCCACTCAGTTAAAGGTCACCAATAGAAGTGGTGAGAACAAGCYTTACCCTAGGCACTGGTGACATCATCATGGATGGTCCTTGCTATGTGGCTGAGGCTGGCCTCCAATTGTGATCCTCCTGCCTCAGCCTCCCTAGCTGCTGGGATTACAGGMGTGTGCCACTGGTGGGAAGGGTCAGTGCAGGCTAGAATGTTCAGCAGCCTCCCTGGCCTCTGCTCACTAAGTATCAGGAGCACCCCCCTATGTCACAATAACCCAAAGTGACCAAGGACATTATCAGAAGTTTCTGGGTGTTGTGGAGAGGTATGTCAGCGTGCAAAGTTGAGAACTCAGAGGTAGAATAGTTGTCTTGCAGATTTCTATTGAAATTGAAATCTGAATTCAGTTGATTGGCTTTTTTTGTATTCAGGATTGAACCCAGGGGTGCTCAACCCCTGAGCCCCATCCCCAGCCCTTTTTTATGTTTTATTTAGAGACAGGGTCTCCCTGAGTTGCTTAGGGCCTCACCGAGTTGTTGAGGCTGGCCTCCAACTTGCAATCCTCCTGCYTCAGCCTCCTGACTTGGTGGGATCACAGGTGTGTACCTGTCATTGTTATTTAGTTTTCAATGGAACCTTAATTTATTTATATGTGCTCCTGAGAATTAACACAGGGCCTCACATGCTAGGCGAGTGCTCTACCACAGAGCCACAACTCCAGGCCCCATTGTTATCTTTAATTCTTAACAATATCCTGTGGCCAGGTGTAGTGTCAGTCACTTATCCCAACTGCTTGGGAGGCTGAGGCAGGAGGATCTCAAGTTGGAGGTCAGCCTCAGCAGCTCAGTGAGACCCTGTCTCAAAATAAAAAATAAAAAGGATTGGGGACGTGGCTCCGTGGTTGAGCACCCCCTGGGTTTTAGTCCCTAATACGACCACCACCAACAAAAAAATCCAAGCAGGAATCTAGAAAAATCCACGTACAGGCTTCCTTGTGTATCATCCTCCTATGTCAGCCTCCCAAGTGGCTGGGATCATAGGAATGTCCTTCCACAACTGGAAAATCTTGTTACTATCATGCTCTCCTTTTTCTGTGGCAGGGCGCAGACTCATCAGAGCGGGTCATTGCCCCCATGCGATGGGGCCTGGTCCCATGTTGGTTCAAAGAAGCCGATCTTTCCAAGATGCCCTTCAACATCACCAACTGTCGCAGCGACACCATCTTGGAGAAACGGTCCTTCAAGGTGGGGAAAGGCACACACTCCTCTTTTTTCCTCAGAGCCWCRAATGTGCCTTGTGTGCCTGATGAACAAGATTAGGTTCTAAAAAATATTCCCAGTTGTTCATGTTGAGTGCCGTTGGTGCCAGACTTAGTGATTTACAACAGAACAGTCACATCTTGCGTCAGTGGATTGACTGTCCTCTTGGAGGCAGTTATTTTGAGGTTCTCATGTACTTGTGATCCGATGGGATGGGAGGAGCGAGGGGTGGATGTAGAACAGGGGCCTCCTGCGGAGCCAACCAAGGCAGCTAGCGTGATTCTCTCTTGTCAGTGCTTGTGAACATGCCAGAAAGATTTTAAGACACCTCACTCCGAGGAGTAGGCAGGAGTCGATTAGAAGGGATTAAAAAAAGGAGAAACCGGGTGTGGTGGTGCACACCTGTCGTCCCAGCAGCTTGGGAGGCTGAGGCAGGAGGATCACAAGGTGGAGGCCAGCCTCAGCAACATAGCGAGGCCCTAAGCAACTCAGTGAGACTCTGTTTCTAAATGTCCCTCAGTATGGGAAGGGCCCACACGGGTTATAACTATTAGGAGTCTGGCTTGCTGGGACCCAGTTTTAAAAACTAGCTACCACATCCGCCTGTTGGTTAGGGCTGGTTGCTTTGAGGTGCATTATTTAATCTTCAACATCTGTGTAATTGGTTGGGTGCAGTGGCCCACACCTGTCATCCCAGCAGCTCTGGAGGCTGAGGCAGGAGGATCACAATTAGAGGCCAGCCTCCGAAAATTTAGTGTGTCCCTAAGCAACTCAGCGAGACCCTGTCTCTAAATGAAATATAAAAAAGGGCTGGGGACGGGGCTCAGGGGTTAAGCACCCCTGGATTCAGTTTCTAATACCAGGAAAGAAAAAAGSTGGATCTAAGTGAGGGACACAGAAATTAACTCCAAGGTCACATGCTGGACCTGGGTTTTGTATTATGTTTGTGGTCCTGGGGGTGGAACCCAGGCCAGGGCCATGGGGACCTGTTGCGTGGCTCACCCCAGCCCTGGGCCTGGTTTGCACTTAAGCTCTTCGATGCCTCCTGCGAAGCCACAGGGTACCACTGAGACCGTATCTTCCTCTTCTCTCTCAGGTGCCTCTGGGAAAGGGACGGCGCTGTGTGGTCCTAGCAGATGGATTCTACGAATGGCAGCGGAGCCAAGTGACAAGCCAGAGTCAGCCCTACTTCATCTATTTCCCCCAGGTCAAGACCGAGAAGGTATCGGCCACAGCGGGCTCTGGGAAGGAAGGGACCCGGAAACAAGTCAGGGTCATTGATTTAGTCAGCTTTTCTGCTGCTGTGACTCAGGGACCCTGCAGCACCACTGCAGAGGGGGACAGTGGATGTGGGGCCCAGGGTGTCCACAGACGGCGGCCCCACTCCTGGCCGAGGGGAGGCAGGACATCATGGAGGAAGAGTGTGGGGAGGGAGCAGCTCCCATGGGGACCAGGGAGCAGGGACTCCACTCTCCAGGGACCAATAGAGACCCCAAGCCACGGCCCCAGGGCCACCTCCTCCCTACACCCCACCAGGGACCACCAGGGGACCCCAGGGAGCCATTCCCTGCCAGGATTCAGGCCTCACACCCCTCACTCCTCCTCTGGACCTTCCTGTATTGTCCCCGTGGGAGCTCTGGGGACACTCACAGCCACACCATCCTATGTTGATCTTCATGTCTCCTCTATGTCCCTGTGATCCCAGCTACCTGAGGACATGAGGCAGACAGTTCACGAGTTCAATCCCAACCTCAGCAACTTAGTGAAACTGTCTCAAAATCAAGACAGGGTCTCGCTGAATTGCTGAGGCTGGCCTCCAACTTGTGGTCCTCCTGCCTCAGCCTCCCAAAATAAAAAATGAGACCAGGGATGCAGCCCAGCGTCAGAACACCTGCCTGGTGTGTATGGGATCCA